GGGAAAGCAAGAAAATGAAACCTTGCCACGCTTAGACGCGCTTTTTTCCTCCTCCTTTTGCTATGCTGTATGCAAGCTTTCAAACTTCACTCGGGACTAATTTAAAGGGAAACGGAGTTTTTAGGAAGTGCTTTGAAAAAGGCAGAATTAACTAAACAGGCGGTTTTCATCGGCTTATCTGTTATTAGGCGAGCGGATTAATTATGTACTGGCCATTTTTGTAACGCGTCATACCGGATAAGGCTGCCTTTGCAATCCTGCTTCTTGCGTCTTTCGGTTTAACGTTATATTACTTGGATATTCTGTAGAACGTGAGAGAAGTGGAATAAAAACAGACTTATGGTTGGAAGCTTGGAGGCTATTTGACACCCCATAATTTAGAGGGTGCATCTATAAATCTAAATGCATCGAAGAAGATGGAGATGAAAAATAACCGTACTCGTTAGTTAATTCTAATAGGGAGAAAGGAATAAAACGATGTTTGGATTCGTTTTAGACCTAACAGCATAAAAATGAAAATTTCTATGATATCAGTCTGCTTATTTCACTGTCAAATGTCAATTATTAAAATATTTATTTTTATACCGCATTAAATCTTTGTATATTATAGAAGAAGTAGTCCAGAATAAAATAATGACCCACTGAAAACTCCACTACCTACTTCTACTTGTATCAAAAACAGAATATAATATTGCACACGTGTGCGGAAAGTGTAATATTCGGATTACACCTTTTAAATGGGATTTAAATAGCGAGAGTTTAAATGACATTTTAATCTAAAGCAAAATAATAAAAGAAACGTTGATTTTTGTTCTCTGACACGACTATAGAACGCTTGGGACGATTTTTGACCACCAGTGGACCAATGGATTATTTCCCACCGAATCCTTACGAGGACAAACATCCTGGACCCACTTACGTTCGGCCAATCGATGTTACGCCTAAGATGATAGGTCCGGGTCGACTGGTCGTTCCATTTCCAAAGAAATCCGGTGGAAACCACTCTGGTTGCTTCGACAAATTTCCAACATACTCCAGTGACCCATACGATAAGGATATTAAGGAAACGAAGAAAATGGTCGGCGTGTTTGTCAGTGGTGGACCACCACGGCGAACCAAATATACCACTAGTATTATAAATCAAGTCACTAGGATATCTTGCAACGCGACGAATTATATGGACTATCAGCCTCAAGTTTATCCTTTGAACAAATAGAAGATTCTGCATTGTAATTTGTTATACGTGAAATTTTAATCGAACGTATTATCCTTTATTTTACATTCTTTCTATCCATGCTACGTTATATCGTACGTCTGTTTTGTTAGCATTTTTATATTTTTACGCATCTTGTACAGAATACATTTTGTGAGACATAGTTGTGACAGAATTATCCGGTATGTGGATTTTATTTTCGTTCTATCCCTTCTTACTTATGTGCTTTCACTTTGAAAACTTTCATACTTTTTACTGCTTCTTCCTCCATAGCAGCTCTCCTTCCTCATATATAGCAGTAATTTTCTCAAGTTCCCGAGCGACCTCTGTCTCGGTACATACGCTTCACCTTTCTAAAAACATATCCTTCGTGTGCACGAAGCTTAAGTTCACCTAAATAAACTGGCACGTTTGATGGTACTGTCGTAGTTTTAATATCACAGGGAGTCAAGTTCACGAGTGTCGCTCGAAAATGTTGCCAATGTGATATTTAATACCCACTACACGTTCTTGTCGTGCAACGAACAATTACCACAAACTCGTGACAAACACTGCTCTAATTCGCGCATTTACACACGTCATAGACCAATGAGGGTCAGCCAGTGATGTACCTCGTTACTTCAACTCTTACGGTAATCCACGTGTATTATCCTAAACGAATCGCGCAGGAACAATTAGCGAGACCAACGAGAAGCACCATCTCGTTGCTTTTTCTCGCCACTTTTTCTCTCCGCTGATCTCATTCGTTAGTACACGCGTTTGGCAGCTTACACAGACGCGTGAAAACAGCAAACGTGCACGAATCGCGCAAGAGGGTCGAAAAAGGTTGGCGTGGACACGCGGCAAATACGAGGACAAGGGTACGTGTCTACGTGCAGGAGACGGTCCTTTCAAAGCGAATCACTCCGTCGCGTCCGAACTTACTAATGAAATTCTAACGAACGTTCCCAGCCGGTGGAGTCCACTCCTGGCGGTCGCAATTAAACGTTCCTGGCAAACATCGCGTACCAGGACGACAGGCTCGTTGCGTCACTTAAAGGCTCGCCTACATGCCGCTAAGGTTGCACGTGTTTGACTGTCGGCAAGTAAGGTAGGGCAATTAACGGGTCGTTTTGCTCGTCGGAGGAAAAATCGGCCGCTCGTCGAGCGACAAATGACGAAATGCTCTGCAATCCAGCAAAAACATCGACGGGACAACGAGTCAGCGTCGCTAGCGGAATAAAAGCGAAACAAATTTCTGCTGATCCTTCCAGCCACGTACACGGAATCGCATTATGAATACTGATGGTGGGATATGTTTTCGAGCTTCTGCTTCCTCTGTGCTTCTTTCTACGCTTTTATTTAGACGGTCAGACGAAACGGAAGAAAGAGGGAATTTAGAATGGTTGTTTTGCGAGATTAATTTTGTCGTACCCACGGATATGACGAATGGACGCTGCAACAATGTCGCGAAGAAGGATTGTGAGCAGAGGAAGAGATATTAATAACTGGTATGAAATGACTTTCAACGATAAAATAATATTTAAGCTGACATCGGAATGCAATTTGAGTTAATAAAATCACGCTGTATCACAGAGGAACGTAAAATAAAGGGCATTCCTTTTTGTCCACCGTCGCTCTTGCAGGTTAATTCAGCCATTTTTGTCTAACCCCAATTTTGTCAGGCAAATCAAATTATCGATTTCCTCTCGTGTATATTACTGCGAATATGTCGTGATCGAATATACATACGGACCGAATATCAAAGCTGTATTGTTAATTATAGAGAATTCCTGAGTAATATAATTATCTGAATTTCTACCTCACGTTTATTCTTCAGATGTTTCTGCTTTCGTTTAAATCATTTTTATTTCCAAAAATCGTATTACAAACCGCATCGCAAATACTAATAACACTGGCGAACATTGATTCACACGATTCGTCGGATTTTAGTTACTCAAATTATTTGATAAATATTTCACTTTCACTGTGTCGAAATCTATCTCGCAATCGTGATTTTACCTGTATCGAAACAGTCGAAGGATCAGAAAAATCTTGGGAAAATGCGGGAAGAAGAGTTAGGCGGTGGCAGAACAAAAGAATGGAACATCGTTGCATCGAGGCGCAATAAGCGTTTTCGCTCGGGCGGCAGCCTGAAAAATTTTCAAGTGGGCGTTCGCTGGCAGACAAGAAATGGCGTCAGGTAGGTATGATTCCACGAGATTTATTCCATAGCTGAAGTCGGCCATTTCTTCGTGCCGTGTCGTTGCGCCGGTATTAAACATTCCAAGCATTGCGATACCTTCCACCACCATCATCCACCCCATACCCACCCCCGATACACACCCTTCAAGACGCGTATACAACCTTGGACCAGCACCAGAGACAGCCTCGCGATCATCCACGTATTCGCACGCATACGTGCATAGGAAGCTTAAACCTGGCCGACTGTATGCGCGCGCGAGTTTCTTCATGGTTGTAGTAAGCTGAACGCGCCAAGAAAAGAAGCAAAACGGAGGGGCAAAAGCAAAGAGGATCGAAAAATATGCGAGTTCGACGAATCCAGTGAAATCTTTCAGAGTAGTCTCGTTCAGCGGAGAAAACTCCATCTTGGTAAACCGAGAAGATGCTTTGCGGAAGTACACCCCCGTCCCGGAAACGGCCGACCATATGCCGCCCCTAAACATAGACATGTTTACGATTCGATGGGATTTCGGCTTTGGTTCGAGTCTATTAACGTTGGTACCCGAGTTACTTCCACTTTCCGGCATTATTACATTTTTTATTTTGCAAAACACGATTGCAAGTGGAATGGAAAATGCGATGCACATTTTAGGAGACCGAGATACACGGGGCACATGGATTTTATATCTACGTAGATGTTGTTCGTATCACAGCGAAGTAGTTCAATTTTATTACAATAAAATAATCAACGAAGGATATTAATGAACCGTATTGTCATACATGTGTCACGTCAATGATTGTTTATATATCACATTTCGTGCTTTCGTTCATATCCTTTTCAGAACGAATAAATTAGCACAGAGTTGATTTTTCTTGCAAGTATCAGTCGATTTTCAGAACTTAAGGCATGTTCGGCTTACTATCGTAAATTGTTGCTGTCCTGCATGTGTCTAATAAACCAGAAATCTTATCGCAGGGGTGGCGTTTGAGCCCGACAGGTTCATTCATCAGAACCTTGAACTCGACTAAATTTTTCGCGATCGCAAAACAAGGCTGAGAGGATCATCGTGATAAACGATATTCTTTTTAGCGAGCCTTCCGATCAAGCATCCCGCGGGTCCGTTCAGCAGAAAATCCCATTCCCGCAAATTGTAAAGGAAGCTTCGCCCTAGCACCCAAACGTAGAAGGCCACGGGGATATAATAATTCCACGCACGGATATTTTTCCAGCTCAACGAGGCCAAACTGCAAATTATTAAACGTCCCCCGTCGTTCTACCCTCAAGGGGATCGTCTCCTGGTTATTATCGGCTAACGATATTATTCGTCGCTTCGAAGCCTGGTCATATAATTAAGGGCCAACGAAATTAAAATGACATTCTCCTGCCCGACAAATTATCTTCCGTTAAGGGTGAGCGACGAAAAATAAGGATGTACGGACGAAAGTGGAGACCGTGGAACCAGGAACAGTGGCTTCTTCTAAAATGTTGCTCCTTCCAACAATAAATCTCTTTTGATCGATCGTGTTCCCGACGTGGTTTATTGGAAACACGGCATTTCGAAAGCGCAATACCAGACACGATTTCTGGGATCCCTGCGCCACGGCCTTCGCAACTTGCGCTTGGATCGTGTGCATCGTTGGAGATATGGAATTGGAAATAACCTTACATTTAGGTGTTCTCTTTTTCTACCCAGTGTAGGAGTAAGGATACTTTTAAGCGTCTCCTGATCTGCACTAAGCAGATCTGCAAGCGAC